ATTTAGCACTCTATTTTAACTAAGCAAAGATTTTTTCAGATTTGAGGGAATTATTTAAAATTGATTGAAAGAATATAAAGTGATAAATAGATAATAAAAAATATAATTAAAAATAAAATGACACTGGAGTTGAACATAATTGTTTAATTTTCTTCTCTATTTTTTTAGATTCATAATGAAGCTTTAGAAAAATTTATCTCAAATTTTTATATTGTAAAAAATTCCTTTTATATAGATTAAGATTAGGTTATGATAAACACATTTCTGAAATATTTTAAATTGTGTATATTTTTTCAAGTGCTCTTTATTTTATTAAATTCTTACATATTAGTTCCATATATTTTAAGTGAGTTTTAAAATTTTGTAATGTTTATAATTCTTTATAAATATACTCAATCTTGTCATTTCACTTATTTAACATAATTATTTTAATTGAGCTAGAAAATGGCATTGTAATTTACTTGAGCTGTAAGGAAAACATCAGGACAAAGAAAAAAGAAAGAAGATATAAAAAATTTGGGGTGAATATGTGCATTGGAATATTGAATGATAAAGATTATTTCAGTTTATTAACATTTTTATATTAACTTACATGCTAATATAGACATATTGATGTTAACAGAGAAATATATAAAAGTTATCATAAAAATCATGATATTTTAGCTTCCTTGATGAAAATGTTCAGTTAAAATCAGCAGCCATTATACACACAGCACACAGAGTAGGACTTCTAGCTTCACGCTCATAAAAGAAACACAAGGGATGCTGTCTCATAATAGTAGCTGGAGCAGGAATAATATTCTTCCTGTGGATATCTTATTTACTTTGATGTGATCTCCTGTGTATTCTATATATGAAAGGTGAGTTTAGTTTAAATTTTTATGTTGTTTCTGACACTTTTGTTAACAATTTTTTTATGGTTTAATGATAAAACTGTTGTTATATTTTGCTGTTCACGAGCTGCCATTACTGTTTTTAGTGAAATTCTGTTTAGAAATTATTTGTTTAGTTTGTGTTCTTATCTTTTTCACTTTGAATGTAATTTTGATGCCAGAATTTTGTTTGATTATGATTAATAGAACTTTTAGTTTTAGTTTTTTGAAGGGGATGTTTTTTCTTTTTATTAATATTTAATTAATAAATGCTAAGTTATTTTTAACTGCTAATTGGTATAAGATTGTGATTTCTTTGTTTTGTAATTCCATTTACACGTTGGTAAGATTCTAGCTTTGGGAATATATTGTCTATTTGCAATTCTTTTTGTAATGAATTACTGATGAGCTTTCACAAAATAGTTTACTATTCATTTTCTAATTATTTTTACATTTCAAATTTATCAAGTTATGGAACATGGGAAGACAATGGATTTTCTTTTTTTCTTTAGACATTTTCTAACTATTTGTATATTTCAGTTTTATATCATCAAAATAATCTGTAAATATAATTTATATTTTTCTTACAAAATCTTATATTTTGTAATAATTTTGTGGATTTTATCTTTAAATTTTCTGTCACAATAATATATTTTAATTATAAAACTTATCAGAAATATAAAAATGTAATAATATATTATGCAACCATATAACATTTCAAAGATAATAATCTTTTCAACGTTATAAATATGAGAATATTTATAAACAAGTTTCTTCAGTCTTAACACAGTTAACTACAAATATGTCATTTAATTAAAGTCTGGCATTGAAATACATTTTAAAATGTTTGATTTCAACAAAAAATATGACTGAAATTTTTTATTAGCAATGCTTTTGATTAATTTGAACTAAATGCATTTTCTTTTTGTAATCTGGAGAAAAGGAGTTCCAAATTTATTTTGATGATTACCATTTTTCTTTTATAGCTTAATAATAAAACTTTCATTTTATAGACATATATTTGAAATTTCTGTTTTTAAAAAATAAATTTTAAAATTTCTTTAGATTCTGACATGAAAAATGATTTTTATTTAATATAGAATTATCTTTACAACATAGAAAATGTTGATCTAATTATAATCTACTAATAATCAAATTTATTACTGTATTATTTGATTATCAACATTAAAAATTTTAAGTCCTTGTTTATTTCCTAAAAAAAAGCTAATCATAATAGAAAACATCAGTGTTCATTAAAACAAAATTTCACTGAAACAGTATTATAAAAGATGCTGAAATAACAAAAACATCCATCTGATGCTAAGAAACTTTAAAGATATTTTCATTTGTTTCATATTGAAATCAAATATCTTTGAAAGATAAATAGATTTAAAATATCAAATGAAATTGTATGCAATGTTTAAATTTTTATTATTATTAATGCTGACTATAGTTAGATATAAAGAAATTTCACTGAAAAGGAAATTCATTGTAGTTTGATATCTTTTAAAAAGAATGTATCCATATGATAGGAATGTAACGTCTTTGAGTTTTTATAATTTTATTTTTTTAAAAATGAGGGTTTAATGTTTGATCAAAACTAAATTTATTTAGAATAGGGAAAACTAAGTTTATTTGAAATGTGTTCAATATTTATTATTTTCAATTAAATTTGATCAGAAATAAGTAATTGTGTTTTTTATTATCAAATATTCTATTGTTATAAGCATACACTAAATTTGGATATCAAAGACGTCAAGTTATTTATAGTCTGTTTTTATATTTTTTTAATTTTCAGAAACATTGTGTTTTAGAGGTCTTGGAATCAATAAAGTCATTCAGTATATTTCTTATAAAGATATGATAATTCACATGTGCATGTTAGTTTTCATCTTACATGGTCATCAGTGTATTGATCTTACATATTATGTAGAGGAAGGAAAAAGTCCTCATACTTACCTTGGAGATATTGCTACTGATTCAAATGTGATTGACAGTATACCATTTGATGATCAAAATGAAGTAACATTCAGTTTATTGACACAAGGAGTGACAGGCACTTCTTTATTTCATGTATCTAAAGAAAGTGGCAAATTGTACACAGCCCAAACCCTTGATGCCGAGTCTCTATGTACATACAATGCAGAATGTTTTCAAATGGTTGATATTGCTGTGAAAAAATTGACAACTGTTATTAAATTATTAGAAGTCAAAGTCATCATTCAAGACATTAATGATCATCAGCCAGAATTTCCTGAAAAACAAATTAATATAAAATATTCAGAAGATGATAGAGAGGGAGCCAGACGCTCAATTCCCAATGCGATTGACAGAGATGTGAACATTCTAAACTCTGAAATTATTTATAACCTAAAAAAGAAAAAACATGATCCATTTGCATTATTTGTTTCCAAAAGTGTTGATGGAACCTCACAACTTGTTATCATATTAGAAGGTAAACTTGACAGAGAAGCTGAAGATTTTTATAGCATTCAAGTAACTGCTAAAAATAAGCAGCCACCATCAAAAGGGGACATTCTTAATATTCACATAACAGTTACTGATGTGAATGATAATCCACCTATTTTTTCTGAAAATGTATATAATGTTTCAATCAAGAACAAGCCAGATGCTGCATTACCTGTTACAACTCTATCTGTCAAAGATTTAGATTTAGGCAAAAATGGTAAAATTACATTCAATTTCAGTCCCAAAACATCAGATGTTGCAAAAACTCATTTTGATTTAAACTCAGAAACTGGAGAAATTTTTCTTGTGAAAAAATTTACCACTGGTCAGAAACCGAAGTATAAGTTGTATGTAAAAGCTTCTGATGGAGGAAATCCTCCATTAAGTTCTCTGGCCATGGTTCAAGTGAATGTGATCAATGAACAAAACAATGCTCCAACAATAAAAGTGACATTTTTCTCTTCATCTACTGAGAACACAGTTGATATCTCTGAAGATATTAAAGTAGGCAGTTTTATTGCATATGTGAAAGTCACTGATCATGATTCTGGGCAGAATGGAGATATTAGTTGCAAACTGAATCATGATAAATTTCAACTACAAAGTCTGGATACAAAGAAATACCAAGTGATTGTTAAAAAGCCATTGGATAGAGAAACTGAAGATCACCATGATATTATTGTTCATTGCAAGGATAAAGGATCTCCTGCTTTGGAAAGTGAGAAAAGATTTTCTGTTAAAGTAATGGACGTGAATGATGAAGAGCCACAATTTTCTCAGAAAACATTTCGATTTAAGATCAATGAAAATCAAAAGTCTAGAGTTCATGTTGGATCAATAAATGCCACAGATCCAGACTTGGGAGTTGGAGGTAAATTATCTTATTCATTGTTGCCAAGTAATAAACAGTTTTTACCTTTCAAAATAACAGATAGTGGCTTGATTTCAACAATTATGTCACTGGATCATGAATTTCAAGATCTTTATGAATTTCATGTGTTAGTGAAAGATAATGGGAAGCCATCATTAAATGCTTCAGTTAATGTTGTTGTTGAGATCAATGATAAAAATGATAATGCTCCATATTTTACATTTCCCAGCATTAATCCTTATAATGTTGATGTTGTCTACTATCCTCATCATTCAAAGAACATCACTCAAATCAAAGCATCAGATAGTGATAGCCAAGAGAATGCATTTCTCAAATATGAGATAATCAGAGGCAATAGCAAACAAATATTCAACATCAATCAGTACACTGGTTTGTTATCTTCAACTCATGTCCTAAGCCAAAAAGATGCTGGTTCCTATGAACTGGAATTTCTAGTGAAGGACAGTGGTAGCCCAGTTCTATCAGCCAGAACTACTGTATACTTGACCCTGACCGTAAGCAACAAGACATCAGAAATGTTAAATGCTGTTAACATAAAGACTGATAATAAGATCCACCTGACTTCAGCAATTATCATTGTATCAGTTGCAGTGACAATAGCTGTGATCATTACAGCTTCAATCTCAGTGTGTATCCTTCGTTGTTGTAATCCTCGAAGTATTCCAGTGGCTGAAGGTAGTTATGTGAGTGGCCAGAGACATTTGATAAGTCCTCCTTACCTAGCCAACCCTTGGTCTGATGTTGCTGTTCCAACATCAAATGCAGATATGAGAAGAAGCAGTCAACCACCAACACCTCGACTACAATCTCATCCTTATGCAAGTACTCAACAAATGCTTTCATCTCCAGCACCAAAACCGCAGCTACCTCCAGACTCAGTTTCACAGGTAAACTCTCACACTTATTTATTTTTTATAGCTATGAGTATTTCAGGTTGTATCATAAGTAAGGTCTATTTTATTTTGTAATCATACTTATTGCAGATATGCTGGCATTAGATTCACTCTCAAATTTTATCATGGGAGTTGATGTTTTGCAAAGTTTTCAGGCTGTATTTATTTTACCAATATACTGTATGTATTTAATCTTTTGATATTTATCTTTATTTAAAATACTGATCATAACTTGTTTAGGAGTGTTAGTTTTTAAACAGAAACTAAGTGGAACAGATTATTATTTATAAATAAATCTAAAAGATACACCTCTATAAAAAGCTATTAACCCAGTACTCTATATATGTGAATAAATTAATATATTGTTTTAGTTGTTATTTTTATCTCTTTGATATTTTATAACCTTTACTTCTCATTCAGCCATTGATTTTGTTAACTTTTCTATTGTTTTGACTTTAATTTTACTTGCAACAGTTTCTATTATTTTCTAAATATCTTCTTTGCTCAAATATTGTTTTCAATTATAATTTACATCTCTTAATGATAGACCACAATTTGTTATTGGATTAAAAACTGTAGAGGCTAATTTGATGTCTTTTTATACTGTTTTGGCAAGGTGAGCTATTGTCAGTTTTGCCAAATATGAATGTGCAAGTCTGTTTGTGACTTGTGCCACTCAAAAATGTCTTAAACATGAACTTAAAATAACTCTCTGCATTTATCATTGACATCATATTCTTTGAAGTATCCTGTAATAATTTTAATTCCTATAATTCTACTCCAAATCATTATTCTATCCACTGTTGTCTTTTAAGTGATGTTGTCTGACTATTTTCATGAGTGACCTAACCCCCAGCCCAACCATCAGGTCCATCTATTATAATTCTACACTCATTACTAAAAATTACTGTTGAGAAATCAGTTTTCATGTATCTATCTATCTATCTATCTCTCTCTCTCTCTCTCTATATATATATATATATATATATATATATAGTCCAATATAGATGTTTCTCTAGTAGTTTGGTTGCATACATTTATTTACTCTTAACCTTCTGCATATTTTCTTTGTTTACTTTTGAAGTAGCAGCTTCTTCAAATATTTCTTTGCTCATCAACTTACATTCTTTGCATATTGTCCCTTTTAATTTTTCTCACATTTCTTTTTGTGATGTTCTTAATGCCAGTTTTTTTTTATTGTTCTTATCAGTGTTTGCGATTTCTTTTTTGCTTATTCTAAGATCTATATTCATTTTTTTAATACTTTCCAGTATTGTATTCCAATTACTCAGTAACTTCCTAATATGTTATTTCTCTTTTGAAATTACATCTTTCTCTCAACCTATGGTAATCTTAATTTTTCTGAAATTAAAAAATATCAATAACTATACTATTATCAGTAATTATACTGTTCTATATCTTTATTGATAATATGATTAACAACTTTTGTGTTGCATAATAAAATCTCACTGTATTAAATAATAATTGTAAATAATCCTAATAAAACTTATGTTAAGTTGAAATTCATATGGATTATAAGTATATCCTGAAAATTTTATCAGCATCCTGTTGGTTAATACCTCTTTGTGAAAACATTGAATTGCATATAAAGATTGACATAGTGTGTATTTATTAAAATTATTTATGTTATTGCTTTATTTACATGAATAAAAATTGTATTCATTTTAATACTTTGGTTGCAATAATAATTAACAACTAGTCCATTGACTGAAGAAAAAAAGTCTTGTCTGTATGGTTTATGTTTTTAATTTCGCAATTTAATCCTCTTTAGCATTTCAATGTAAAAATTTAATTGGTCTTGACAATTTTTCATACATATGTATGGTATTGTTATTTTTTAATTGTATTGATGTTAGATGTATATTCAGGATGTAGCATTGCCATCTGGTAATGGAAGTAACAGGAAAAGGACAACCCAAGCACAAGATTATTTGAGTAAAAGATCTATGAAATTTTCTGACAATGATGAAAAACACAGGTGGAAAGAAAGAAATACAAGACAACCTACTGAAGAAAGATTAGGTGAGTTAGGATTTTGAAATATTATCTCATAACAATTGTCTTACCTTATATATATAATTACAAAGTTGCCCATATATTTTCTGTTTAGCTTATAGATATAAGTACTTGCATGTCTGGCTAAACTACAAATAGCTTATTTAATCATTTTATTAAAATATGTCTGGGGTCTTTAAATTTCACATTGAAAAATGCATACTAGGAACTATAATTGCTAACATATAACATAACCTTCTCAACATTTTTGAAAGAAAAAATTGACACTCTACTTTGATATATAGCAGTTAAAAATAAAAAAAATATTAAAATATTTGCAGCAGAATTATTAAGGCATATAAATGACAGATATTTCCCTTGGCATTTATCTAGTGAATTTTCATGTTCTGTTTATATCCTGATACCTCATATGATAATATGAGGGTTGATTCTCATCTGAAATTTTTCATTAAAAAAATTTAATTATGTGTATAAGTGTGTGTGCTAATAACACTCAAAGAAATAAAGATAACAGATTAAAAATATGCACAAAATCATACTTAAAATCTTGAGGAAAATATTCTAATTTGTGTGTGTGTGTGTGTGTGTGTGTATATAATTAACAAATTTATCCATCAAGTGATAATATTTTGAAATATAGTTAATTTTTTACATACACCTCTCACTGAAATTTAACATGCAACATTATGGATTTCTGAATAAATTTATTTCCAATGTATAAAAAAATAATTTATGTGAAATTGTTGAAAGTTTTAACTTCATTGCTATGAAAATTTATACATGGTAATTTTTATCCATTTTAATTTTGCAGATGCATACACTATGCAGTATTGTAATTCTTCATCACCAAGAGAACATCAGCAAACAACTGAGATGCGACCCTTGGGACAAACTGTCAGCTATCCTAGTGATACAACAATTGTAGCCAGGGACTTTTACACACCCTACATGAATGAAAATAGCTCTCAAGCAGCTGCCAGTAGCAATAGCTCTTCTAATAGAAATTTACAATCAAGTAATGTACTTGTAAGTGGCAGTCAGTCTTCTATCAACAGACCACTTCCGCCTGTACCCCAATAAGAGAAAATTATTTTAAAAAATCAGTTTTATTTTGTAATATTATCAATAATTAAAACATTTTTAAATATTTGCTTTTAATAATTTTAAAATATTAGTTTTTTTTTTTTAAATTATGAAGTTTTTATTAATTTTTTACAAATTCTGATTTTATACTATTAGATTTTGATTTTACTAGATTACAAGAGATATGAATGACTTTTTTAATCCTTTATGCCAATTTTTTAGAAAGACAGTCAATTTAACTCCATACTTGGATATAAACTAATCTTTTGAACAATTTATTTTTTGGACTAGATATGCCTCTTTACTCATCTCCTAACTCAAAGGAAAATATGCTGGATATTTTTATTCTGTTGTGTAAGTAGTTAATAAAAGAAAGTATTTTGAGTAAAGATTTCTTTTTTAAATAATGAAACGATCTTTAAATTAAGAAGTAACCTATTTTTTTCACAATAAAAGTATGAATAAGCAACAAATTTCTTTTTAATTTGTACTTGATATTTTAAGTGATTAAAACAATTGGCAAAAAGGATGAAAGTCGATCATCATGGATAAATGGTAGCATTTTATTATATTTTTTACAGATAATTCCATAGTTTAAGTAAATCATTTTTAACAAACATATTAATAGAAAAACTACATTTTTGTGTTAATTTTTGTATATGAAGGCTTTAAAATAATTTCATCATAAGGTTTTAGAATTTTAGTAAAATTACGGTTTTAGAATTTTAGCTGCTTGCAGCAGCCATTACACACACAACATACAAAGTAGGACTGCTGATTTCTCTCTCATATGAACTGCACAAAAGAAACTCAAGGATGTTGTTACATAAATGCAGCTGGAGCTTTTTTCTTTATTTGGATCTACTCCTCATAATTGCAGTAAAATTTACACTAAAAGTAAGTTTATTTCAAAATTTCTCTTCATATGTTTTTTTTTTTTACTCTGTGTCAGCAGCATTGACTTAAATGTAAAAATAATTTATAACAGTAATATACCAGACGCCATTAGTGATTGAAAATAAGAATGTCTTTGTTTATCCAACTATCTTTCACAATTATTTACCTGCTAATGTTTGTTGTAGCATTTGCTGCATATAATATAATAAATATTAATTCCAGCTATCATTAAAGAATTACATTTAGCATTATTAAATCATAAATTATTTGATTAAGTTAATATCAATTCAGTATTATTGTTTACTAATTTTTATTTTACTTTTTTTTTCTTCTTGGATATACATGCAAAGTTATGATGTGCAATATTTTTAAATTTTACTTTTGTAAAATTTTTCTTGTATTAAAATTCCAAGTAAAATAGCAACTGATCATAAATATAAGATACAATATTTATTTTCTTAAATTAACAGGCATCTCTTTTCTTATTTTATTATTGTGCATATTATTTGCCAAAGATGTGTGAGCCATATTTATTGCCCAAGATAATAAAGATTGTATAGGTAATGTTTTATAGTTTATGTATAAGGAATATTTTGGAGATATATTGTGAATAATATTCAAATATAAAATTTACTGAAAAATAATTATTTATTTGAAATGTGAATTTATATATAAATGAAGGATATGCATGAAAAAATGCTTTCTATCTACTTTGGCAATCTTATATATAGGCGGTTAAAAAAAGAAAATCCAGAGCAAATAGATATCTATGTTATTTAATGATAATTTATATTGTATGGCAATTGATTTATAACAGAATTCTTATCTGCATTTAAATAAGTGTCTGTAGGCACACTTTTAAGTCCATAGCTTAATGATGAAAATGAAAGCGTTTATTTTGTGTAACAAATATTCATTTTTCAACATAATCTCCTTCCATGTCAATGCACTTAATTCAGTGGTGAACATTAATCACAAACAACAAACATTATATAGTGAATTTTTAAAATCAAATTTCAACTATTAACTATGTTAGGTGACAGACTTATTCATCCTTGCCTCATACATTAATATTTTTTGTACATGATTGTGTTTGCATTATTATATTTCATTCAAATTTAACAATGATATTCATGCATAAATATTTGATACAAAAATTATTTTGGAAGCATAAATTTCATTTTATAAAAATATCTTTACAGACTAGTTTTATAAAACACAAAAATCAAAATGGCAATATATATCTGTATCCTTTTGCATGAAAAGAAAATTTACTTAGATTTAAATTTTTGTACATATTTTTAATCCTTTGAACTTCTGCAACTATATGTCCAGCCTTCAATAACATAGTCCCCTTACTTTGCATAAAATTGAAAATTTATTCATTATGTTTACTGTTCTTTTGATTTATTGATTACAGAGAGTGATTTTCATGGTTAGATTAATCTCTTTTTCCTTTAAATTTGATAGATCCATATTTTTCTCAAATGGAAAATGAACTGATGAAAATGAAAGCCTACAACTTTCCCTTAAAATTGTTCTTGATATATAAAAATTTATATATTGTTATCCGAAAATAGACTTTATAATATTTATTGAACACCACAACATTTTATGCCGGATGTACCAAAATTTAGCGACTTTCATATAAAATGATTATTTTTAGGGATTTGCTACTATAACAGAAATTTTATATATGCTTTCATTACAAGGTTTACAAAAAAGTAAAAAAACTGTTTTTGTGCTATCTTTATTGAAATACAGTAAGTTCACTTATGAAACTGAAATCATTTCAATGATAGAAGTAATTTTTTTTAAATATACCTTGATATCTTAATATTTAAAAATCCCCTTATTAATGACAAATCAAAAGTTTTATGTTGATAAAATTAGCATGATAAAACCTATTCAAATAACTCCGAAATTAATAAAATCAAACTAAAAGTAATTACTCTTATATAAAAATCATAGTTTTTCAGTTGAAGATTTTTCAACTCATTTCAAAGTTCTCAACCTGACCCATTTCCTAAAATGTTAATAAATGATTAAACATCACATACTTCAGTAGGGAATGGCTATGGTCAGGTTGATAACTTTTTGGTACACACTCCTAAATTTTAATACTTATGAGGGAAGGGGAGATAACTAAGTTATCCAATGAATTAAGAGGCAAAATATATGACAGGTACTGAAAGGTTCTCTGAAGATTGGAATTCCTAGAAATTTTATCGTTTTGTATTTGTAAAGTATGCCAGTCCAATAACTTTTCAACAATTCCTTGAACAATAATTCATGTTTACCATGCTTAATGTTTGTTTTCTCAAATTTTTAAATTTACTCTGATACTCACATGACTTTCTTTTATCACAAAATATTGAAACAATATAGCAAGTAACTTCTAAGGTATTAAAATTATACTTTTGTTAAGAAAGAACAAGTACTGAAATATGTCTGTTTATTACTTTATTTTAAATTACAAATGACTTATCTTTAATAGTGATTCTTAATAAAAGTAAGGCAGAAGAGATTTGTAAGAATAAATAGATTTCAGTTTGCATTAGATTTAAAGTAATAAAATTGTTGTCTGAGATTTATATTCATCTTAAAAATATTTGCATATAACAATAATTTATGCTACATTCTTTTCTGAATTTCAGATTTAAAGAATATCTTTGCTGAACCTATCTTTCCAATGATAGTTGTTTACATCAGAAACATGATATTACAATTATATATAGGGCTGTATGTTCTGCACTACTGCATAAGTGTGGACCTTACATATTATGTGGAAGAAGGCAAGAGTCCAAATACTTACTTGGGTGACATTGCTGCAGATACTCACTTAATGGATGATGTCACACTAAAAGAACAAAAGGAAATCACATTCAGCCAATTGCAGAAAGGTGTTAGTGGCAATTCTAAATTGTTTCGTGTCTCTAAATATACAGGAAAACTGTACACTGCCCAAACACTGGATGCTGAATCTCTTTGTACTTACAATGTAGAATGTTTTCAAATGGTTGACATTGCTGTGAAAAAGGCATCGACATTCATTAAGTTATTAGAAATCAAAGTTATAATAAAAGATGTAAATGACCACCAGCCCGAGTTTCCAAACAAAGAAATCAATATTCAGTTTTCAGAAGATGATGGAAGAGGTGTGAAGAGGTTAATACCCAATGCTGTTGATAGAGATGTTGGAATCCTGAATGCTCAGATCACCTATGAATTGAAAAAAAAAGAAACAGAACCTTTTACATTATTCGTTTCTAAAAGTGTTGATGGAACATCTCAGTTAGCCTTAAACTTGGAGAAAAAGCTTGATAGAGAAGCTGAAGGTTCATATCAAATTGAAGTAATTGCAAAAGATGAAGGCTCTCCATCAAAAGAAAGTACATTAAATGTCCATATCTCAGTGAGTGATGTTAATGATAATTTTCCAGTGTTTTCTCAAAATGTTTACAATGTTTCAATCAAAAACAAACCTGATGCTTCTTTGCCTATTACTACTTTATCGGCAAAAGATTTAGATTTAGGCAAAAATGGCAAAATCTTATACAATTTTAGTCCCAAAACATCAGACATTGCTAAGGCTCACTTTGATGTAAATCCAGAAACTGGAGATATTTTTCTAATGACGAAATTTACAACTGGCCAAAAGCTGAAGTATAAGTTGTATGTAAAAGCTTCTGATGGAGGAAATCCTCCATTAAGCTCTCTGGCAATGGTTCAAGTGAATGTGATCAATGAACAAAACAATGCTCCAGTGATTGATGTAAATTTTGTATCTGCATCCAGAGAGAATACAGTTGATATTTCTGAAGATATAAAAGTTGGTAGTTTTATTGCCTATGTGAAGGTTACTGATGAGGATGCTGATCAAAATGGAAAGGTTACTTGTAGTCTTAATCATAATAAGTTTCAACTACAAAGTCTGGATACAAAGAAATATCAAGTAATTGTGAAGAAACCAGTGGATAGAGAGACTGAAGATCACCATGACATTATAATCAGTTGTCAGGATAAAGGAAATCCTCCTCTTGAAAGTGAAAGTAAATTTTCAGTCCAAGTGATGGATGTAAATGATGAAGAACCACAATTTTCTAAACAATCTTTTAAATTTTTCATTGATGAAAATCAAAGATCCAAAATTCCTGTTGGCACCATCAATGCTACAGATCCAGACTTGGGACTTGGAGGTAAATTGTCTTTTTCTCTGCTGACCACCAATAAACAGTTTGTACCCTTTAGAATCAGTGAAAATGGATTGATCTCATCAATTATGTCTTTAGATCATGAGTTTCAAGATACTTACAAATTTCAAGTATTTGTAAAAGACAAAGGAACTCCATCATTGAATAACACAGTGAATGTGATTGTTAAGGTGAGAGATGAAAATGATAATGCTCCATATTTTACATTTCCCAGTGTTAATCCTTATAATATGGACGTAATATATTATCCACATCATACAAAGAACATCACCCAAATCAAGGCATCAGACAGTGATAAACAAGAGAATGCATTTCTCAAATATGAAATAATCAGAGGCAATAGTAAACAAATATTCAACATCAATCAGTACACTGGTTTGTTATCTTCAACTCATGTTCTAAGCCAAAAAGATGCTGGTTCCTTTGAACTGGAATTTCTAGTGAAGGACAGTGGTAGCCCAGTTCTATCAGCTAGAACTACTGTATATTTGACACTGACGATAAGCAACAAGACATCAGAAATGTTGAATGCTGTTAACATAAAGACTGATAATAAGATCCACCTGACTTCAGCAATTATCATTGTATCAGTAGCAGTGACAATAGCTGTGATCATTACAGCTTCAATCTCAGTGTGTATCCTTCGTTGTTGTAATCCTCGAAGTATTCCAGTGGCTGAAGGCAGTTATGTGAGTGGCCAGAGACATTTAATAAGTCCTCCTTACCCAGCCAATCCTTGGACCAATCTTGCTGTGCCTACAACCAATGCAGATCTGAGAAGAAGCAATCAGCCACCAACACCTCGATTGCAGTCTCATCCTTATGCAAGTACTCAACAAATGCTGTCATCTCCAGTTCCAAAACCACAGCCAGCTTCAGATTCAGTTTCTCAGGTATCCTTTTGGATTTCTATTTTATTGATTGTTATAGATACATTTCAACTGATAAATTGTTAACTTGAATATTTCTATTATATATAATGATTATCAGAAATAGCAGAGAAAACATTGCTATTCATTCAATGACATAAACTGATATTTTTCTGCCCATTGTTAAATTAGTTAAACAGATAAAGATTTCTTTTACATTTCATACTGAATACATTTATTGCACATTAAAAATTCTTTTCTTATTATCAGCAGATGTATCTTCCAGACATTGCTTTACCATCTGGTAGTGATAGAAATAAGAAAAGAACCATAATCCAAAATTATTCAGGTAGAAGTTCTATAAAATCTTCTCAAAATGATAATAGACAAGGCTTAAGTGATGATGATACAAATCATACTGAGGATATATCTGGTGAGTATATTTCTTGCAATATTTATCTCGGATTTTAGCTATAGATTTCTCTATGTTTATTAATTACTTTTAAAATATACAATTGCCTTCTCTTCCAAATCTAGATTATAAATAAAGTATAATTATAAATACTTTGTTTTCTGATTTTCAGATATGTACCCATCCCAATACTGTAATCCTCCCCCACCATTACAAAGTGAGCAAAAGCAGAACCCAGATATGAGACCCTTGGGACAGACTGTCAGCTATCCAAGTGATACAACAATAGTAGCCAGAGGCTTTTATACACCTTACATGAATGAAAGCAGTCCTCACACAGATATAAATTCATACCCAGGTGTTGATAGTAGTAACTCTTCTGGTCAACATTTACCATCAAGGAATGTGCTTGCAAGTGGTAGCCAGTCTTCCATTAATAGGCCTTTGCCTCCTGTACCTCATTAAATTCTACACATCATATTTTTTTTACTTCTCTCACTTTAATTCTCTTCCTTGCTCATTCAAAAACGTTTATATTGTGTCATTTCCAGTATTAGCTTTGTAATACATATGTGAGCAGGAATTACATTTTATGATCTAATAAAAAGATTTTAAAAAGTTAATCTTATGAATATATGTGGAAAATTTGATAATTATATCTGACATGACCAGCAAAATATCTGTTTTTTATTTCCACACTAATTTAAATATGATTTATCTTGAAAAATGACATTAAAAGTTATCTATGGAAAAATGAATAATTATTTCTAAATTGAACAGGTTACAATTAAGTATAGATATGGTGCAAAATCTTTAATCTTTAGATACAACAATATCTACTTGAAAGCATAATGATAATCATACCAAATCTATATATGTATAACTACTAATGCATACATACATATGTGTGTGTGTGTGTGTATATATATATATATATATATAGTGGATTTTTCTCTTGAATATTGTTTTAATTTTTAGTATTTAATGTAATATGTTACTTGGTAAATATAGATAATGTGCAGTTATTTTGTGTAGTTTTCCCGATATTTAATTTTCTTTTCCTTTCAAAGAAAATTATATTTATTTATAAAGTAATAAAAATATTGTTATAAACAAAAAAGATTAATTTTTTGTTTCTTTTTTTTATTTAATCAGCTAAGGCAAAGCATGAAAAAAAGATAAAATAGAACTTGGATTAATTATTTGAATGTTGGGCAATAAAAAAAAAATTTGAATTTATAAATTATGTATTTGTATATTTTTTATATCTACGCTACTACTTGTGTGCTTCTACTTTAATCAGATTTTTACGATAGTTTATTTACTAAGAGTAAGGATATTATGCCAAAGGAAATAGTGTCAGCCATCATGCATACAACATACAAAGTAGGACTGCTGGCTTCTGCTTCACATGAACTACACAAAAGAAAAACCCAAGGATGTTGTTACATTATAAGAACTGCAACAGAACATTCCTGCTTTCTGTAAATTTGCTTTTTATTTTTGCCTAAACTCCAGTGGATTTTTCATGAAAGGTAAAATTATTTTGCATTTTCTCTCCTTTAATTTTCTTTGTTTATTTAGTAAATATTTCTGACTTGTGCTATCAGATGCTCCTTAGACGCCATTGTCATTGTTAGTGCTGTTTAGAAAAGCTTTGTTTCTCATAGCTGTATGCTGGTTTTAAACTGAGGTTATAATCTTTTTCATTTTTGAACCTTTTTTAAATTACCATTAGAGAAAGTATTATTTCTCTAGTTTTATTTATAGTAAAAAAAAACTATAATCCTTACTGGCATTTTGTTTAAAATATTTTGATTTCTTATAAGATACTTTGGCATTTACTTAGTATTTAAAATATGAAAATGCATGTGCATATTCTTATTGAAATAATTGTTTTATAAATGTGATTATGTTTTTAATATTTCATAGCAGTACTTAATACTGCAATGAAAATATTGTTTATTATTGACTCTATGTTTATTGAAAATATTCTCTATTTAAAAATTGAAATGTTTCTATATTTTCTCACGTTTTTTGTGGACTTACATATACTGAATACTTCATATATAACTAATACAAAGAAATTGGTTTTTGCTAATAATCTATTTAAATGTTTTTAAATTTGTATCAGATACATTAGCAGTATATTTATGTATACTAATATTAAGAAATATATAGTCTTTATGCATATAACAGCTTTTTGGCAGAAGCTCCAAAAAGCTGATTACAACATTTGAAGTTTAATTATACTATAACAACATTGATATGATGCTAGAAAGTTCTTTGACCAATTCATTTCCCAAAATCTGACTAAATGATCAAACATTAGATGTTTTTTTTTTTTTTTGAAAGGCCTCTTGCTGGAGTGAGAACTTCCCATCATCCACTTATATATTAAAATTCATTTCACAGATGTGAACATTTTTGAGTGCTGTATTATTCTGACTTACATTTTTGGAGTAAAAAAATATAGAAATTAGTTAAGTAACATTAAGTCAAAAAACAGTTTGGTGTTATTTTTTTAAGAATTTCATTTTAAAAATTCTCTGACAGATTCCATCATCCAAAGAAATATATTTTTTCATGACTGTGTAACTGGAAAATATGTGTGGAGACTTTCTATTATTTATGGGAAGTGAAAGGTAGAAGATTGCATAGAATATATGTACCAATATGGAAATGCCATCCTTCAAAATTGAAACTTAGAAAATATAAAAAAAAAAAAAATAAAAAAAAAAGATGTTTCTTAGCAGATTTAAAATAATTTTACCAGTTACCTGAAGTTAAATTTTTTCATGATCTGCTAGAAATGTCTTAATATAGCGCTTTTAATATTTAAATTTTTGCCTTGTAAGAAATAGATAATTATAATTAAATGTTAAAATTTGATAATTTGGGCCTAGTTAATATAAAATTGTACTTTAACATTTGATGCATTTATTTTTATGGAATGTTGTGTATTGCACACAACTTACATCTCTTAATATAATTAGAATATTTGAAAATGATTGATATTACAGTGATAAACAGTTCTGTTAAGTTTGTACAAACCAAGTTAACAATATAATATAGTAATAGCGACAACAACTGTCTATAAATTAGTAAGTGAGTTTCATGTTTCGAAAACCAAATTATGGTCTCTGGCAAACATGTAAATAATAAAATAGCTTTATTTGATTTATGTTCAAAATTATGAACAGAAGAAGTTTTAAAACTAACAAACAGAAAAGTAAAAAAGTAGAATCTAAATGTATATTTTAAAAGTTTCCTTCATTAATAATGTGGATAGCAGCAAAAATATACATACATGTATACATTCATGTTTGTTGTCTTCTAAAAAAGGATGAAATGAGTTTGTAGTTATCAACTTTAAAAACTTCAATTTTTAATTGTAATAAGTTTTAAATAATATTCAAATGAAGGAAATGAATAAAGTATTCCTAATTATTTATAACAAGTGATAATCATTACTTTTTATTATAGAAAATATGTAAACATATAAAATTAATTTTAATCTAATACTTTTTGTTGTTCACTTTAAATTCCAGTTTTCGAACAAAGTTTACATCTTTGTAATTGAGGCCTTTTGAAACTACCAACTACATTTCTGCTCAGTCATGATAGAACAGATGTATATATTAACTATTATCCTTCATGGATATCACTGCATTGATCTTGTATATTATGTGGAGGAAGGAAAAAGTCCTCATACTTACCTTGGAGATATTGCTGCCGACTCAAATGTGATAGACAGTGTACCATTTGAAGACCAAAATGAAATCACATTCAGTTTATTAACACAAGGAGTGACAGGCACTTCTTTGTTTCATGTATCTAAAGAAAGTGGCAAATTGTACACAGCCCAAACCCTTGATGCCGAGTCTCTATGTACATACAATGCAGAATGTTTTCAAATGGTTGATATTGCTGTGAAAAAGTTGGCAACTGTCATAAAGTTATTAGAAGTCAAAGTCATCATTCAAGACATTAATGATCATCAACCAGAATTTCCTGAAAAGCAAGTCAACATCAAATTTTCAGAGAGTGATATTATGGGAACAAAAATATCAATACCAAATGCTATTGACAGAGATGTGGATGTTGTAAACTCTGAAATTATTTATGAATTCAAAAACACAAACGATGAACCATTTACATTATTTGTTTCCAAAAGTGTTGATGGAACCTCACAACTTGCTATTAATTTGAAAAGTAAGCTTGATAGAGAAACTAAGGATATGTATAAAATTAAAATAATTGCTAAAAATAAAGAACCTCCAACAAAAGAGAGTATTTTAAATGTTTACATATCAGTTACTGATGAAAATGATAATTTTCCAATCTTTTCTGAAAATGTATATAATGTTTCAATCAAGAACAAACCAGATCCCTCATTACCTGTTACAACTCTATCTGTCAAAGATTTAGATTTAGGCAAAAATGGTAAAATTACATTCAGTTTCAGTCCAAAAACATCAGATATTGCAAAAGCTCATTTTGATTTAAACTCAGAAACAGGAGAAATTTTTCTTGTGAAAAAATTTACCACTGGTCAGAAACCGAAGTATAAGTTGTATGTAAAAGCTTCTGATGGAGGAAATCCTCCATTAAGTTCTCTGGCCATGGTTCAAGTGAATGTGATCAATGAACAAAACAATGCTCCAACAATAAAAGTGACATTTTTCTCTTCATCTACTGAGAACACAGTTGATATCTCTGAAGATATTAAAGTAGGCAGTTTTATTGCATATGTGAAAGTCACTGATCCTGATTCTGGGCAGAATGGAGATATTAGCTGCAAATTGAATCATGATAAATTTCAACTACAAAGTCTGGATACAAAGAAATACCAAGTGATTGTTAAAAAGCCATTGGATAGAGAAACTGAAGATCACCATGATATTATTGTTCATTGCAAGGATAAAGGATCTCCTGCTTTGGAAAGTGAGAAAAGATTTTCTGTTAAAGTAATGGACGTGAATGATGAAGAGCCACAATTTTCTCAGAAAACATTTCGATTTAAGATCAATGAAAATCAAAAGTCTAGAGTTCATGTTGGATCAATAAATGCCACAGATCCAGACTTGGGAACTGAGGTAAATTATCTTATTCATTGCTGCCAAGTAATAAACAATTTTACCTTTCAAAATAACAGATAGTGGCTTGATTTCAACAATTATGTCACTGGATCATGAATTTCAAGATCTTTATGAATTTCATGTGTTAGTGAAAGATAATGGAAGCCATCATTAAATGCTTCAGTTAATGTTGTTGTTGAGATCAATGATAAAAATGATAATGCTCCATATTTTACATTTCCGAGTGTTAATCCTTATAATGTCGATGTTGTCTACTATCCTCATCATTCAAAGAACATCACTCAAATCAAAGCATCAGATAGTGATAGCCAAGAAAATGCATTTCTCAAATATGAAATAATCAGAGGCAATAGCAAACAAATATTCAACATCAATCAGTACACTGGTTTGTTATCTTCAACTCATGTCCTAAGTCAAAAAGATGCTGGTTCCTATGAACTGGAATTTCTTGTGAAGGACAGTGGTAGCCCAGTTCTATCAGCCAGAACGACTGTATACTTGACCCTGACTGTAAGCAACAAGACATCAGAAATGTTAAATGCTGTTAACATAAAGACTGATAATAAGATCCACCTGACTTCAGCAATTATCATTGTATCAGTAGCAGTGACAATAGCTGTGATCATTACAGCTTCAATTTCAGTGTGTATCCTTCGCTGTTGTAATCCTCGAGGCATTCCAGTAGCTGAAGGCAGTTATGTGAGTGGCCAGAGACATTTGATAAGTCCTCCTTACCCAGCCAATCCTTGGTCTGATGTTGCCATTCCTACAACAAATATGAGAAGAAGCAGCCAACCACCAACACCTCGATTGCAATCTCACCCTTATGCAAGTACTCAACAAATGCTATCATCTTCGGCCCCAAAACCACAGCCACCCCCAGACTCACAGGTACCTTTTCATACTTTATTTCTTAATTATTGTGTTTCCTATTTTTGATGAAATTTAAGAAACCTTTGAAGATGTTCAATTTTAAGAAATATATATATATTTCATAATATGTCTGTGATATTTATGATTTACTGATATAGCGTCTGTTAGGTTTTTTTTATTCTACAGTTATATCTCATGTTTTGGAAAAATATTGCTAACTGTATATACCTAACTAAATGCTCAGTTTCCATCTATCATATTAACGTTTATAATTTGCTTACTGGATATGAATTGTATAGAATCATATTTTTAGTAATATTTCTCTTTTAACAGTTTATCTGTTAAAAGTCATTATTTATATTTGAAAATAGAAGAAAACCTTCTCACGGTTTGCGTAGTTTTAATTTTTGTGGCAACGACATTTTTTGATTATATTGGAATGTTACAATGTTCATGTTTTGTCTTAGGTTAATTGAATATTCTGTATCCTTGAAAATTTCTTTTTCTACTTTATTTATGAAAGATGTATGTTCAGGACATAGCATTGCCATCAGGTAGTGATAGAAATAAAGAGAGGATTAACAGAATGCCAGACTATTCCAGTCAAAGTTCCATAAAGTCTTCTCTTAGTGGCAATAGACAAGAATGCAATGTTGTTGATTCACAACTCACCAAAGATGGCTCAGGTGAGTTAGAAGGAGCTTATAATTTTTTACAAATTTGTTTTCTCTGTGCAGTCTTGATGCAATTGTAAAACACTTTTCAATCTTGTTTAAATAATCTCATGAATTATTTTATATTTTCTGTCTTTAATCTATATCAATACTCTTATTAATAATACTTCATTTTTCTTTTATTATTTTACAACCACTAATCTGTGTATAAACTAAAAATGTAAAACAAATGAAATATTCTGTTACTAAATTATATAAAAGAATGTATGCAACAACTGCAGGCTCTATGGTTCATTACCTACAGATCTGGAAAAGGTTATATCAAACAATTTCAGCTATTTTTTTTTTTTTTTTTTTTTTTCAGGTGTGTACATTTCTCAGTATTGTAACCCTCTTCTTTCTCAAACTGATTTGACACAGACCACAGAGATGAGACCCTTGGGACAGACTGTCAGCTACCCAAGTGATACCACAATAGTGGCCAGAGGCTTTTACACGCCCTACATGAATGAAAACAATCCTCAAACTGGTACCAAATCTCATTCTGGTAGTGACTATAATAGTTCATCTGGTAGACATTTACAATCAAGAAATGTACCTGCAAGTGGGAGTCAGACATCCATCAACAGGCCACTGCCACCTCTACCACAATGAACTCATTTCAACAAATATAAACAGAAAAAAATAACTCATTTTATATAAAAAAAAAAAGAAGAAACAAACAAAAATTATAAAAAGTAAATCTTTATGTATCATCTGACCTATTATATAAAAATAAGTTTTATCAACTGGAAATTTATTTAATTATGAAAGGAATGTTTTAAAACTAAATAATTATGAAGTGATTTTAAAGTATTTGCTATGTTTAGTAATCCATTTGATTTTATATTTTATTTTAGAATATAATTTCAAAGAAAATATTGCAAATTTCTTCTCATATTTTTTTGTTAAGGGGATAGTCATATATTTTATTAGTACCTATACATAAAACTTTAATTGATCTTAATGTGTAGGTTTAATTTAGTTAATCAATTTTCAAATATTACCATATTATTAAAAATTACATCCATTCATGAATATTAATTACTCATATAGAATTTTTAAATTTCAGTTTAATATTTATATTATTTTCCTTTATCAAAATTATTTTTGAAATTCATTGCTAAAAAATAATTCTGAATTTATTTCATTACTAATAAATTTCTTATAAAATAAAAATTAGATTTTCATTAAATAAGAAAAATTAACACTGAAATATTGAAGAATGCAAACTGACTGGGTTGCTTAATATTGTAAATTATATTCAGAATTTAAATGACAGGAAAGAACTTGACTATAATGCGTAAATACGTATTTTTTGATTGATAATTTTATTTCTAAATTATTATTTTTCTCAAATTAGTTGATTGAAAATTTTATTTAAGATTTATAAATTCTAAGTGAAAGTAAAAATGAAAAAATTGAAGTTAAAATATTTGAAAGATGCATTTACAGTAACTGAAAGCTGTATTAGCTATTTTAACACAGAAGCAGCCATTATACACACAGCACACAAAGTAGGATTTCTGGTTTCCCTCTCATATGAACTAAACAAAAGAAACAGCCAGGGATGTTGACAAATAATAGCTGCTGCTGTTTCTGCAGAAGAGTTATTTTTTTCTGGATGTCTTTTTAATTTGGCTATAAACCCATTTGGATTTCACATTGAAGGTAAGTTTTTAAAAATTTGTTCCTTCTTTTGTATCAGTAAGAGTCATGTAAAAGAGCATTACCTTAGCAGACATCATTGCCATTGTTAGTACAAAAGATTCCTTATTCAGTTACCATTCATATTTTTCATCATTTGTGACATGTTGAAGTTTATTTTTATAAAAGGTATTTCTCATATATATTATTATCTTATAAACAACTGAATTAAAAACTTTATTTCAATAAATCATTTTTACAGAAAGAAATTATTTCAATATGACAACTCATGTTTCTTGCATTTGTCTTTTATTAAATGTGGCCATTTTTGTGTTAAGTGTTCCCTTTCCAGTATAATGGATTGTTAGCATTTCACATTGATATGTAAAAATTTTAAAATATTTTTTATATTTTCTTTGAACATTGTCAGCAAGGAATTTGATACATTTAACTATTTATCTTATTTTCCATCAGATATTAAATTTAATAGAAAGCTTTTAAAGAGTTTTATATTTTGTACTCAACAGAAATTTGCAATAACAGGACTTAGGAAAAAGATTTATGGGAGAGAACTTAATTTTAGATGTATTATTTATTTCTATTTAGTTTGAATTTAAATATTTTTAATTAATCAGTATAATATGAATAATTTTACATTTTTGCTTATATATACATTTGTATTTAAAGTAGTATACTCTTTTGTGCATTATGATAGTAAAATATGTTGCAGTAAAATGATAGATATAGATTTATTTATTATTTTGATATTGCTTGTATTGCAAAATATGTATAATGTATAAGCTCCAAACAGTTTTATATAAAACATATTGTAAGTTTTTTATTTAATAAAACTTATTAAATATTTTGCAACTATATCTCTATCTACTTTACAGTACTCTCATTTGTATACATAAAATTAAAAAAAAAAAAACTATTTTTACAGTTTTTGGAGAACTGAAAATTTTTTTATAGTATTAGAAAATGCAAAAATATATTTTTGCATCTTTTAATACTATAAAAAATTTGAGTTCACCAAGCATCAGTACTTGTATGTAATTCATATATTTATTAAATAGTAAGAGAAATTAGAATCACATATTCAGTATTCTACTTAAAAAATATACCTAAATTTTATTCATTGCCTTTCAAAATTTTTTCACTAGATAAACAGACAAAAAATATTAGTGAAAAATTCAAAGAAAAATGTAAGATAAAAATAAACACATAAAAGCCATTTAAAAAAATATATTCACTATCAGGTTAGTAACAATGTTTTAATTGGTTAATGCAGTAAAATAATGCAGGATAAATTTGATGTTTTGTTTTTTAATCTATTGTCAAATATTTATATAAGCTATAATAAAAAACATTTCTATGAATAATTTTCTTGTTTATATAATTATATAGCCATAAGGCAACATGAATATTTTTAATCATACCTTTTCAGAAAAAGAAATTAATGCTTCTGCTGCTGTGGGCATAGTTATACATCTTTACAAAAATTACGTTGCCTACTGTTGATGTATATATACGTTTTCAAGATATATGTCTTTATGAAACTTATGCTGCTTGCTGTTGTCATATATGTATTTTTTAAGACATCATGAAATGCTGGTCCCTGGCATTTGTGTTATATACTAATTATCACTTTATGCTATTTCCAAACCAGCATAGACATATATTAGTGAACACTACAACTGGTTTTCAGCTGTAGTTTTATTATATTATGTGTAGGTGGTATTTTTTAGCCTTTTCTCCAGAGTATTTGATGAAAACCAAAATGGCAGCAGCACCCATGAGAAATCACTGTCAGTGTATTTATAGTCATTTCTTTTCAGTAAATGACAATTTTCTATTTTCCCCAAAACTGGTTAGAACATCTACATAATAATGCAGCAGTGAAAGAGTTAATTAAGATGGAAATAAACTTTTGAATACTATTAAAATTAAATTTTCAAATTTAATTCTTAGTACAAAATGGCTAACTTCCATATAGATTCAAAATATGTTTTTTTAGAAATTTCAGTGCCATTCTTTCACATGTATATTTTTGTTTTTGTTATGCTTTTCCTATTGTCAGTATGAAATAAGTAAAATTGTATGTAAAATAAAATAAGTTCTACTTTATAAAATCTGTCTGCAATCTTATTACATCCAAATTTAACTCTTCATTATTTAACTTTACATACATTATTTGACATTGAGTATACTTTTCTAGGGATAATTTTACAAAAGGTTAAAGGTGAATATTTTGTTATTTTTAACTTTCATTCATATAAAATAATGTATACTCAACAAAATAAAAAATGTTGAGAGTTTTAATATATAAAAACACAAAATTATCTGTTTTCTGTATCATTCTTTATAGAAATAGATACCATTTAGCTAAAATAATGGAATTTTTTCATATTTTCTGTATAATCAAAGAAAACAGTGTAAAAAAAAGTAGTCATTGCTAGCATCATTAACATTGTAAACTCTTGAAGTCTGAATCATTTGTATGAAAGACTACAGTTATCTTTTTAGGCTAAAAAAATTCTAATATTCAAATGATAGCTGAGATATTATTTTGATAGAATTGGTCACAGTCACTAAAGGAGTAATATTAACCCTGGGCCCCCAACAAGAATTTCTATTTTTTATCTTCACATAATTATAATTTCATATTTTTAGACTGAAGGTAAATTTCAGTTCCAAGGCTTTAAAATGCAAGGGAGGTAACTCTAAATTTTTTCTACAACCGTTATTTATTTTAAACATAGAGAATGTAATTCCTTACTATTTTCTGCTTTAATATAGCACAGCAAAGTAATTGAGAAAATGAAGAACAGGCACTGACGATGACTCTGTATATGATATGATGTTGGAATTACATAAATCTAAGAAAAGAATTATTAACGAAGGTTGCTATTTATAATTAATAATTGTCTAAAATTTTCAGAAGGTAGATATGTTGAAATATTAAGAATTAGGTGAAAAACTTTTATATTGGAATTCTTGATGTGATTCTTGAAAACATTTTTATTTTCAAGAAAAAACTAATGTAAATTACATATGCAAAAAATAGTTATTTGTTAAATGTTTAATAAGTAAATGAGTTATACAATTTATTTTAATTTCAGATACAAGAAAAATAATAGGATATCATATTTTATCAAAATTCTATTTAAAGAAAAATGTTTATCCAAGCGTACGTGTTGTTGTCTCTTCTGCATGGCTACATATGTGTTGACCTGAGATACTATGTAGAAGAAGGCAAGAGTCCAAACACCTATTTGGGTGACATTGCTGCAGATTCTTATTTGATAGATGATGTAACACTTAAAGAACAAAAGGAAATCACATTCAGCCAATTGCAGAAAGGTGTCAGTGGCAATTCTAAATTATTTCGTGTTTCAAAGAATACAGGAAAATTGTACACTGCTCAAACATTGGATGCTGAATCACTTTGTACTTACAATGTAGAATGTTTTCAAATGGTTGATGTTGCTGTGAAAAAGGCATCAACATTCATAAAATTGTTAGAAATCAAAGTTATCATAAAAGATATAAATGACCATTCACCTGAGTTTCCAGATAAACAAGTCAACATAGAATTTTCAGAGGAATCTACGCAAGGCGCAAGACGATTAATTCCAAGTGCTTTTGATCGAGATGTGGGGACCATAAATTCTCAGATTACTTATCATTTAAAAAAGAAAGAAAATGAACCATTCACTTTATTAATTTCAAAAAGTGTAGATGGAACATCCCAGTTATCAATAAACCTAGAAAAAAAGCTTGATAGAGAAGCTAAAAGCTCTTACAACATTGAAGTAATTGCAAAAGATGGAGGCTCTCCTCCAAAAGAAAGTTCTTTACATATTTATATCTCTGTAACTGATGTTAATGATAACTTTCCAGTGTTTTCTGAAAATGTTTACAATGTTTCAATCAAAAACAAACCTGATGCTTCTTTGTCTATTACTACTTTATCAGCAAAAGATTTAGATTTAGGCCAAAATGGCAAAATCTTATACAATTTTAGTCCCAAAACATCAGACATTGCTAAAGATCATTTTAATTTGAACTCAGAAATAGGAGATATTTTTCTCATGAAAAAATTTACAACTGGGCAGAAGCTGAAGTATAAGTTGTATGTAAAAGCTTCTGATGGAGGAAATCCCCCATTAAGCTCTCTGGCAATGGTTCAAGTGAATGTGATCAATGAACAAAACAATGCCCCAGTGATTGATGTAAATTTTGTATCTGCATCCAGAGAGAATACAGTTGATATTTCTGAAGATATAAAGGTTGGTAGTTTTATTGCCTATGTGAAAGTTACTGATGAGGATGCTGATCAAAATGGAAAGGTTACTTGTAGTCTTAATCATAATAAGTTTCAACTACAAAGTCTGGATACAAAGAAATATCAAGTAATTGTGAAGAAACCAGTGGATAGAGAGACTGAAGATCACCATGACATTATAATCAGTTGTCAGGATAAAGGAAATCCTCCTCTTGAAAGTGAAAGTAAATTTTCAGTCCAAGTGATGGATGTAAATGATGAAGAACCACAATTTTCTAAACAATCTTTTAAATTCTTCATTGATGAAAACCAAAGATCCAAAATTCCTGTTGGCACCATCAATGCTACAGATCCAGACTTGGGACTTGGAGGGAAATTGTCTTTTTCTCTGTTGACCACTAATAAACAGTTTGTACCATTCAGAATCACTGAAAATGGATTGATCTCATCAATTATGTCTTTAGATCATGAGTTTCAAGATACTTATAAATTTCAAGTCTTTGTAAAAGACAAAGGAACTCCATCATTGAATAACACAGTGAATGTGATTGTTAAGGTGAGAGATGAAAATGATAATGCTCCATATTTTACATTTCCCAGTGTTAATCCTTATAATATGGATGTAATATATTATCCACATCATACAAAGAACATCACCCAAATCAAGGCATCAGACAGTGATAAACAAGAGAATGCATTTCTTAAATATGAAATAATCAGAGGCAATAGCAAACAAATATTCAACATCAATCAGTACACTGGTTTGTTATCTTCAACTCATGTCCTAAGCCAAAAAGATGCTGGTTCCTATGAACTGGAATTTCTAGTGAAGGACAGTGGTAGCCCAGTTCTATCAGCTAGAACTACTGTATATTTGACACTGACTATAAGCAACAAGACATCTGAAATGTTAAGTGCTGTTAACATAAAGACCGATAATAAGATCCACCTGATTTCAGCAATTATCATTGTATCAGTAGCAGTGACAATAGCTGTGATCATTACAGCTTCAATCTCAGTGTGTATCCTTCGTTGTTGTAATCCTCGAAGTATTCCAGTGGCTGAAGGCAGTTATGTGAGTGGCCAGAGACATTTGATAAGTCCTCCTTACCCAGCCAATCCTTGGTCTAATGTTGCTGTTCCTACAGCCAGTTCTGATATAAGAAGCAATCAGCCACCAACACCTCGACTGCAGTCACATCCTTATTCAAGTACTCAACAAATGCTATCAAATCCAGCTTCTGATACAGTATCACGGGTAAGTATTTCATCTTGTATGAAAGGAATTTCTTTACCCTCATCTGAAAAGAAGGTTAATTAGTCTTTTTGAGAGAGAAAATTCAAACCTCTTTTACCCAAAACATTTATCAATTCATTTTGTGGATTTCTCATTTTCTTGGTTAAAATTATTTTCTTTGTAACTATTTCTTGTTTTTCTTGAAAAAATTGTAGGTTTATTTATAATTTGTATTTGATACATAAAAAAATGATGTAATTTATTTTTAAGTTTTATTGACTGTTAGCAATGGTTGTTTGAATTTAGGAGAAACTAAACTTATTACTTTCATTCCACAATATTTTATAATTTTTGTTCTTCACTATGTACATTTTTTATTGAATTTTCCTATTGTAATTTTTATGTGGTTATATGCATAATTTTTCATAAATTACCAGAATTATCTTTACCTATCCTGATTGGTCATTCACCATTAAAAATATTTATATTTTTCAGCTTGTATGTGTGAATATGCTCAAAGAAATTTATGAAAGGATATATGCATAGATAATAGTATATAATTTCTAAATATACTAATTAAAAATATTTTTTTCTTCAATGAATAATTATTTGAAATCCTTTTCACACTATGAAAGTGGATTAATAAGGCCAGAGCTTGAGACAGTTATTTGCTAAAATTTGCTATGAAATTTTCAAAATATAATGCCTAATCTATATGTTTAATGGAGAACTGTTGGTTTAAGTGCATCAATCTTTTTATGATATTGGTATTTTTAATAATCTAACATATCATTTTTTATGTTTATTTCCTCTACGTGTTCACATTGGATTTTATTTGATAGTTATTAAAAATTATCTAGATTTACTGTGTAAATGTCTTCCTACATTCTCTTCTATCAGATGTATATTCAAGACATAGCCTTGCCATCTGGTAGTGACAGAAACAAGAAAAGAATAGAGAGGACACAAGACTATTCTAGTAGAAGTTCTGCAAAGTCTTCTGTCAATGATAATGAACAAGGATGGAGTGATGTAGATGGAAGACAAACTGAAGATGTATCAGGTAAGTAATAAACAATATACTGGCAAATAATTCTTGTCTTACAAATTCATTATATAGATAGAAATAACATTTAAGGTTTAAATTCTGTTATATTAAGTTTGTGTATTTTTATTAAAAATTAAATGTTTCCAGTTTTGACATGAATTTTTATCAAATTAAAATACAGTCATAATAGAAAAATAAGTGAAAAGCATCGATATAAAATATATAAAAAAAAATCCAGATTTTTAAAAAGACAATCTCAAACAATTTTATTTGAAAAAAATATGATTTATGTAAAATGTAAGGGATGTCTATAGAAAGCATTCAAAAATAATCTGAAATAAATTCATATTTTACAGATGTGTATCCTTCACAATATTGTAACCCTCCTCCATCACACAGTAAACAACAGCAGACCACAGAAATGAAACCTTTGGGACAGACCATCAATTACCCTAGTGATACCACAATAGTAGCTAGAGGCTTTTACACACCCTACATGAATGAAAACAGTCCTCATACAGATGCCAACAGTAGTAGCTCTTCTAATAGACATTTACAATCAAGGAATGTACCTACTAGTGGTAGTCAGTCTTCTATTAATAGACCTCTGCCACCTGTACCCATTTAAAAGTAATTTTCATAAACATTACCTCTCAGGTATCACAAATTATAACAGAAATATTGCTGATAATGTTTGGTTCCATCTAAAAAAATTTTCCATCATTCAGAACAGTTTATAGAAATAATTAAAAATTGCCATTTTTGGAAAATTTCAAAAACTTTTATTTAAAAAAAAAAAATTCTATAAGTGAGGAAATTTATTGACGAATCAAAGAAAAATTCCAGTTAATATTTGACTGATTTAAGCACAAATAATTAAACTGAAATATTTTTAATTTGTTGAGGAATTTTATTTTGCTATTTATTTCTAGATATGATTTCAAGTAAATGTAAATTTGTTTATATGTTGTTTCCAAATCCAAAACCCATGTATTTATAAGCATGTAAAATTTTGTCAGTTTTTAATTGGTGTTTTCTGTTAAAAGAGTTGTAAGTGTTTCTGTATTTGAAAATATGTATGCCAAAATGAAATACCAAATACAGTTTTGGGAAATAAAACTTGATAATTATTAATCTCACATTTTTGTTTGATATTAATTTCAAATTTTAATTTTATATTAGAATATCACTGGTAAATATCAATGAACTTTTTTCAAATTTATTCAAGGAATCATTTACATTTGAAATTAATAGAGAAATTATTTTCAGGAGAAAGTTGTCTTTAATATAAAAAAAAAATAGGTATCATACAGAAAAATATTGATTTGTGAGTGTAATATGGACTAAGATGAACCAGATTTTTGCTTTTTATTTAATGTTTTCAATGAATTAAATGGATGATAATCAAACATTAAATAACAGCACTTGCTTGCCTTTTAAAACATTTTTATAACTGTTTAATGTCTTTGATATATCTTTATAATTACTGTATGAATTTAGGAATAAAAATGTGACATTAAAATATGATAGTGTTAATATCTCAATATTTACTCTTTAAAAAGCCTCTAAGTCATTTTTAACAGAACAGCAGCCATTACACATACAACACACCACATAGGACTTCCTTCCCTCTCATTTGAACTACACAAAGAAACACTGAGATGTTATATAGTAGCAGCTGCAGCAGTAGCTCTCTTTCTCTGGATGTACTTCTGATTTTACAATTGACTACTCTTCAGTTTTCATCTTGAAGGTAAGATTTTTTTAAAATTTCCTCTTTCCATATATTTCTTCATGAAAAATACATAAAAAGGTTGGATTATTTGAGTTTTAGCTCTTCAGTAGTTACCATTGTTACTTTAAATTAAAATTCTGCAAAGAGGCCTTTGTTTGACATATTTTTTATTTATTTTTTTAGTTTCACTTTTTATCGTGATTGTATATTTACTATTTGTTTGATTTTTCAGAAGAGCCATTCAGTATTAATTTTGATTAATGTAATCTGTAAATGAATTAAAAGTTAACTTTTATTTAGATAATTTCATATGGCTAATACATTTATTCAAAATATTACAACTTTTTGTTGTATAATCACAGATATTTCTCCTAACCTATCTTTTATTTTCCATTTTAAAAGTCGTTTTTTTTTCATATGAAATAATTTCAATAAAATAATAAATATAATATTTTTTGTTGTCACAAATTTTAAATTTCTATTAAGTTTTATTGGTCACAGTAAGAAAAGTAAGTAAAGAATTAAACAAATTAAGAGCGAATGTTTTGTCTTTCTTCTTCAGACATAAGAACGAACAAAAAATTTTAACTAAAGAGATTGTTTGTATAAGATAGTACTGAAATAAAATATTTCAGTAATTTGTATTTCAAAATAAATTTCAACATGAAAATGATTCAGTTTATAACTTGTGTTTTTCTGAAAGTTTTAAAAACTGGAATGACTATATTTATTGTTAAACACATCTATATATGCACAATCACATCCCTAATCTACAGTTAATATTTCGCATATGTTTTTTATATACATTTTTCTGTATATATTTTCATATACGTAAATAAATTTTAGTATGTATTTATATAATTTTTCAATCATTTTATGTATTTGAGATAATTTTGTAAATGTAATTTAAAATGTTTAATTTATGTACCTATGAATACAATTACTTATTACCATTATATATATTTTCAGTAGCAACACACTCATTGAAATTAACAACATTACATAAACAAATTGTATAATGTTATAAAATATACTAAAAGATGAAGTAAATCATTTTAATACATCAGACAGTATAGTCAATAAAATTGTTATGTTGTATTCTGTTGAGAAAATGTTACATTTATAAGCAAATCAATTCTTCATAGAAATAACTGAGAATTAAAAATTAAAAAAAATGTTTTATTAATTCTATATATGTAATTATATGATCCTTGCATCATCATTTTGAAGCTAAAAAATTTTTCACATTTTCATTTATGCATCAATATTTATATTCATGATGTAATTCTAAATACTCTATAGATTTTGATAACAGCTAAATAAAAGTCATTAAAAAACAAGCATTCAAAGGTAAAAACCTGTAAAATAATAAGTTCATGAATTTTAATAAAATACATCCTTTTTTAATCCAAAAATATTTTGATATCTAATTTTAAAAGCAGATATTTATATTCAGTTATGTATTTATTGGGAAAGTAGAAGTTTTCAGTTTAATGAAGTACATGCTTGAATGTGTTATTTATACTGAAGATTCTCTTTTCAGGTAAATTCTACAAAAAATCCTCTACAGAAAACTGTATTACCATTATAAGTACTTATTACCTTGGATCATCATACAAAAAATATAATAAAATTCTGAATCAATCATTGAAAATGAAAGTAAAATTGTCAATGTAATCAGTATATAATAACAATTGAACATTTAAAGTGATTATCTTGATAATTTTATTTTGAATCCAGTATTTTAGTATAAAATATCTAGTTTAATGCTTTTTTTTATTTTAGGCTATTTAAGTAAATGTTTCAAATGTCCAATAAATATTCTATATACATAAAGTTGTACATATATTTAAGTATAATATTTGGTAAATTGCATACTTATAATCATTATCGTAATATCAAGAGAATAACTCAGTTACATTATATTCAATTTGGATAAAATTTCAAACCAACTGAGACTAATACATTTTATATACACTTGATATTTCTGTAGAGCTGTTAATGCAAGGGAGGTAACTCTAAATTGTCTTCAGTACTTGATTTTCATGAAGCTTGAAAGTATCTATCTAGATGATTTTATAAGTTATGTAAAAATAATTTAGAGATTCCTGACCATATAACCATATATTTTGTATTCCTAAAATTTCCAGCTATTTAAACAAGCAAAATGGAACAATTTTTTATATTATTTTTTTAAATTTTTTTTGACATTATTTAGAAAAAAAGCTGGGCTCATTTATATTGTAAGTGAAAAAATACATTATTCTACATAATGCATAAGTTTTATTACTGAAAGACAAAACAGTTTAACAATGTTCTTTTTTTGTATTTCAGATACATGTAAATGTTAAACCATTTTCTTAATCCAGGAATAATGTTTTTACAAATATATGTGCTTGTGACTGTTTTGCACTTATGCCGTATGTGTAGACCACATATTATGTAGAAGAAGGCAAAAGTCCAAACACTTATTTGGGGGACATTGCTACAGATACTCACTTGATGGATGATGTCACACTAAAAGAACAAAAGGAAATCACATTCAGCCAGTTGCAGAAAGGTGTTAGTGGCAATTCTAAATTATTCCGTGTTTCAAAGAATACAGGAAAACTGTACACTGCCCAAACATTGGATGCTGAATCACTTTGTACTTACAATGTAGAATGTTTTCAAATGGTTGATGTTGCTGTGAAAAAAGCAACAACTTTCATGAAGTTAATTGAAATCAAAGTTATAATAAAAGACATAAATGACCATCAGCCAGAATTTCCAGATAAACAAGTTAATATAAAATTTTCAGAAGGTGATGTTATGGAAACGAAGGTTATAATTCCAAGTGCTATAGACAGAGACATTGGAGTTTTTAATTCTCAGATTACCTATGAATTGAAGAAGAAAAAAACTGAACCATTTACATTATTTGTTTCTAAAAGTGTAGATGGAACATCTCAGTTAGCCTTAAACTTAGAGAAGAAGCTTGATAGAGAAGTCACAAGTTTATATCATGTTCAAGTAATAGCAAAAGATGGTGGCTCCCCTCCAAAAAAAAGTACTTTAGATGTTTATATCTCTGTAACTGATGTTAATGATAATTTTCCTGTGTTTTCTCAAAATGTTTACAATGTTTCAATGAAAAACAAACCTGATGCTACTTTGCCTATCACTACTTTATCAGCAAAAGATTTAGATTTAGGCAAAAATGGAAAAATCTCATACAATTTCAGTCCAAAAACATCAGACATTGCAAATGCTCATTTTGATCTAAACTCAGAAACTGGAGAAATTTTTCTCATGAAAAAATTTACAACTGGCCAAAAGCTGAAGTATAAGTTGTATGTAAAAGCTTCTGATGGAGGAAATCCACCATTAAGCTCTCTGGCAATGGTTCAAGTGAATGTGATCAATGAACAAAACAATGCTCCAGTGATTGATGTAAATTTTGTATCTGCATCCAGAGAGAATACAGTTGATATTTCTGAAGATATAAAGGTTGGTAGTTTTATTGCCTATGTGAAGGTTACTGATGAGGATGCTGATCAAAATGGAAAGGTTACTTGTAGTCTTAATCATAATAAGTTTCAACTACAAAGTCTGGATACAAAGAAATATCAAGTAATTATGAAGAAGCCAGTGGATAGAGAAACTGAAGATCACCATGACATTATAATCAGTTGTCAAGATAAAGGAAATCCTCCTCTTGAAAGTGAAAGTAAATTTTCAGTCCAAGTGATGGATGTAAATGATGAAGAACCACAATTTTCTAAACAATCTTTTAAATTCTTCATTGATGAAAACCAAAGATCCAAAATTCCTGTTGGCACCATCAATGCCACAGATCCAGATTTGGGACTTGGAGGGAAATTGTCTTTTTCTTTGCTGACCACCAATAAACA